AGCCAGCGGCTGAATTGGGGAAGCTGGGGGCAGAGCAGTTGGAGTGCTGCCCGGTAGGTCCCATAGCGCTGCCCCTTGGGCCTGTGGGACCAACCGGCAGCACCCCAGCTGCTCTGTGGCTGGCATCCCCAAGAGCAGCTGGGGTGCTGCCGGGTTGGTCCCGCAGCCCCGAGGGGCAGCGCTACGGGACCAACCTGGCAGTACCCCAGCTGCTCTGCTCCCGGATTCCCCGATTCAGATGCTGGTCAGTTCCGTAGCAGCAGCTGAATGTGGGAAGCCTGTCCGGCTGCTCCAGCACTTCCGGGTTCCTGATGGTGCCGGACCATCAGGAGTCCCGGAGCATTGGATGCCGGACTACTGGAGTTTTACTGCAACGAATAAACCAATCATTCACTATCTTACTCCTTTTATCAGGATGTCCATTTTCCATCTGTTAGCGTGAGAAATCTCACATAGCCAAATATATAGAGAACCATGCACAGATACAAAATCGGTATCCACATCTATCTCTGCAAAAATGAGACACAGATGTGTGCATCCACATTCGTGGATGCGGATACCCATGGATACAAAGCTTGTCTACATCAACTTGTCTTTCTTTCATTATTTCTTTTATTCAGGGCTACAAAATAGATCCCTGGGGCAAACCAAAAGCAAAGCAGGAAGTAAGGAAGAAGACAACAACCACATGAAGGCACGATACTCCTGCAAATCTTTTAACTACTTAAAAAAATTCAGATTTTAGGCTCTTTATACATTTCTTCTACTTTTAAATTCATTGTGAAAATTAACTTCTGAGTGAATAGCTATTAGACCAAAAAGTAGATTTCACCAAAAATGTTCATTATGGATAACATTTTCAATTTTGTTTCCTATGCAAATCTTGAAACCAAAAATATTTTCTGATTTCAATATAAAAAATTGTTTCAGTGTCTGTCATAAAAGACAAAACTTTTATGGGAAATTTGGGGGAAATGTTATTAATTTCTCACAGAAAACTGGTATTTTTCTATGTGCCTTTTTATAACTGAACACCTGCAGCTAGACTGAATTTATACGATTTAATTCCCATTTTCTGTTATAAAATTAGTGTAATCTCATCTAAACAAAAAGAATTTTCACCCAGTCATAAATTATAAAAGTATTTTTTAATCCGTGACTAAAATATATCATTCAAATACTGTACTCTGCTTTAAATTATGGATATTTGTAATACAATACTGTTACAAAGATGTATCTTTTCTTTTCCCATCCTCATCCTGTCAGAATAAACTCACTAATTCTAAAAGTAGAGTATCTAGTTTCTCTCTGGGTCACAAATTCTCCCACAAGAATGAATGAAAGAAATAAAATTTAAATTCAGTGAGGTTTTCATGTGCCCTTCACAAGCAGTTGTCCCTAGTGCATGCTGGAACTTGATTAAGCTCCCTAAGTATGTAAAGCAGCTTCTCCCGTAACATGTTGCAATCAAGATTTCAAGAGTCCATCTTATTCTTCTCTTGACATAGAAGAGCTTTCTTTACTCCCAGTATTGTCTCGGGCATCTAAAAAAGAGTTCTCTCATGGTTTCCATTATATCATCTCTGCTATAGAAAAACTCTGTTTCTGCTCAGAAACACATCTACTTCCACAAAACATCAACAGCAAGTCGTCTTTTTTTTCTGTTTTTTACAATTGCCTTTCACCTATGAAAGAGACTTTTCTGAGCTGGTTCCAGAATACAAGTGCTTTTGAATCTGTATCACTGCAAGCTCTTTTCTATTCTATGATTCACCTGTGTTTCTTCATTTCTTTAAGAAATATAGCAATGATACATGTCTCCATGCCCAAAATTAACTCCTTACCTTTAAGAAAATCCAGCAGTACTGCCCTGTACCAGTCTCAGTACAGTAATTCCTCATTTAACACTATAGATATGTTTCAGAAAATGATGGTGTTAAGTGAAAACGTGTTATGTGGGGTCAATTTTCCTATTGAAAATAATGGAAAAGGTGGGGGTTGCATTTCAAGCAGTGGTGTCTGTTGGGACCAGGACATAAGGTTGGGGGAGAAAGGGGACTGGGTTAAAGCAGGGAGGGGAGGTGTTTGGCTCTGGGAAAGGGAAGGGGAGGAGAGGGGAGGGGGACTGGGTTGCGAGTATGGCCCTGTGACGGGTCTGCCAGGACCTGCACTGCATCCGGTGAGGGGGGGGGAGGTGCCGGGGAACAGCGAGGTGAGCGGCGAACTCTCCACCGCTTTTCAGGGAGGCAAGGGAAGCCCCATGCGGCCGCCAGCAAAGGGCTGGCTGGGGAAACCTAGCCACCGGCCTGCAAGCGGGGGCAGAGGAGACAGGGCAAGATGTCCAGCAAGAGGGAGTCCGTGGGGAACAGTGTGGAGAGTGGCGAATCCTCCACCGCTTTTCAGGGAGGTGGGGGAAGCCCCACGCAGCCGCCAGCAACGGGCCAGCTGGGGAAATCGTGTTATTCCAGGGACGGTCGTGTAATTCAAAAAACGTTCCCCAAAAAAAACGTGTTAAGCGGGCACATGTTAAAGAAGGAATTACTGTACTTAATTCCTTTCTCCCATGCAATTGCCCTGCTCTTTAGAAGGAAATGATAATACGTATATTACCCAATTGATAAAGTTAACATGGTTGGTTTTTTGATTAAAGAAAGTGTTAAGGCCTCATATGTATGAGTAATATATTTAAAAGAACAGTTTACACAGTACAGGGAGGTGAGAAGTTCAGAGGAACCATTCAGGCACCTGAGCATGAATCACCCACTATAAAAATTACATTTAGTAACCGGAAGACAAGCAGATCAATGCTAATACAGTTCATTCTCACAAATGGTAAGAAGTTGTCCAACTGTCATCCATATCTTGTTAATAAAACCATAGTCAATATAATCTTAACATGGATCTGGCAACATCTCTTTCACAGAGGAAGCACCTTGCGCATGCTGACACTGTTTTTCACCTTGTCCCTATATGCTGGCTCCTAACATAAGTTAGGAGGGGCTTACGGGAAATCAATAGTAACAGGAGATTATAGGCCTTCCTTACCTTGGCTGGCAACAACAGCAGGACTAGGGAGTTACAGAAAAGTTTCCAAAACCTGCTTTGTCTCACTGCCAAATTCTCTATTACATTTTCTTTGTTAATGACTTGTTGTGAGGAATCTCTGTATTGAGCAGTTATTTATGGCTTTGGCTTTCTCCACTTTCATTTGGGGTATGCATATGCTTGCACTTCATCGACAAAGCTTTTGCCATTCATAGGTTCTTTAAAAAACTTCCACAAACAACACAGTTTTGCTGCAGCAAATGAAAGTATGAACACTGCTTTGTTGGCAGGGATGTTCTCCTGCTAAGCAATTGAAACCCCCTTGCTGGGGTGGAAGGATTTTGTCGG